TCCCCTTCTTCGGTCTGCTCATAGCTGGATCATCTTCCTGCATTTCAAATGTGGTTCACACGATCCTGCCCACACCTGAGCTTACCACCACCATGTCTCTCTCTCTGTGTTTTGCTCTGACTCTGCTATTTCTCTGTCTCTTACAAACATATTCAGCACAAGTACCCTAATGCTTGTTAATAACAAGAAAGGGACATTTATAACTCATGCATACCAAACCTGTTATCGTGCACAATTTTACAATAAATGCAAATGCTCTATTCTATTGCTGCTTGGTGCCTGAGTAAGAAAGGTGACTGAAATTCAGAAAGAGAAAGATATCCCAAATCAGGTGAGGACATTGATGACCAATCTTTCCTACTTCGATTTTAACCTTAGTGCTCATTCTAGAAACAGCCATGTGTTTCTCTACATCAAGGATATCACTGCCAAGTTGTGATCTCCAAAGGAGTGCAGGACATTTCTGCCTACAGATCTTCTTTGGCAGAAATGGATTTTGGCCTGAATTATCTGAATAATTGCTATGTGGCTGTGACTCCACATAAGGAGATCATTCACTGTATTAGATATCTATTGCTGTGTAACCAATTGTCATGGTTTGAATTATGTCCCCCCAAAAATGTGTGTATCAATTTGGCTAGGCTATGATTCCTGGTACTGTGTGATTTTCCTGTATATTGTAAACCTGCCTCTATGATGTTAATGAGGGAGGATGGGTGGCAGTTGTGTTAGTAAGGCAGGAACTGATCTACAAGACTGGATTGTGTCCTGAGGCAATCTCTTGAGATATAAAAGACAGAAGTGAGCAGTGAGACAGGGGGACCTCATACCATCAAGAAAGCATTGCCAGGAGCAGAGCGCTTCCTTTGGACCGGCATCCCTGTGCAGAGAAGCTCCTAGTCTGGGGGAACACTGATGAGAAGGTTGAGAGAGAGAAAGCCTTCCCCCGGAGCTGACACTCTGAATTTAGACTTTTAGCCTACTTTAACTATGAGGAAATAAACTTCTCTTCATTAAAACCATCCACTTGTGGTGTTTCTGTTATAGCAGCACTAGATGACTAAGATACCAATTATCATAAACTTAATGGCTTAAAATGACACTTTTATTATTTCAGTTTCTGTGAGATGCGAGTTTGGGGTGGATTAGCTGGGTGCTCCACACAGGATCTCACAAAGCTGCAATTAAGGTGTCGGCTGGGCTGCATTCTCATCTAGAGGCTTGACTGGGGAAGAATTCACTTCCAGGGCTCTCAGGTTGTATTTACATACTTCCATTTCTGTCTCACTATCACCATTCTATGGCCATTTATCAACAAGTCCTAGCCTGTTTGCAACTTCAGCATCCCTTTATCTCCTCAAAGTTAGAGCCACTTGAACCTCTCCTGCAGGTGCAGGCATACTCCCAATTCCCTGAACCAAAACTAACCAGTGGTAGGAAGCATTGAAACATCCACTGCACTTCTTTCTTAGACTCCTCATCAATTTACATTAATGCTGGTCTTGCCCTGCTGGTCTTGCTGGTCTTGTTCCAAATCTGTTCAATAGTCCTCGCCTACAGGTTGGATAACTTGTCTTCTGTTGTAGTCCCTGCTTAGAGATTCTTACTCTGATACAAGGCAAGCTATGATCTGTCTCCTCCTCAGATTTAAGCTATCCCATCTCCCCCTTACCCTGTTATCTGGGGCTTTGTTCTTGAACTAGGGGTTGGGACCCTGCTAATTAGTGGTATCCAACCTCCCAAGTGCAAACTGCCTGCCTCCTTGTCTGGAATTCCCAGTAGGTTTGACCTCAGATTGTTCTGTGTTCTTCTCACCTATTGGGATTTCCAATGACTCATCTTCAAACTCCATCTGCTTGACTAGATGATGACTGGACTCTGCTTTATACCCCTTTTGGATGTGTGTTTTGTCAATTGTATTGTAACTCATTGTCAGCACTGCATCCGAGATAGTTTCTTGACTTGTGTCCTGCCCCAGTCCCTGATTCTGAACAGATTTTGATTTAACAAGTTCTGTGCTAAGAAACTGGTCATGCCAAGATAGATTCCAAGACTTGCCAAATCTGTGTCAGAAATTAATCTGATGCGCGAAGATATCATGAGCAAGGTAGAAAATGATCTGGCTGTGATTTTGAGGGATGGTTGATTTTCCATAGTTAAAGAAGAAGGCGAAGGTTTGTCACAACTGGAGGCAACGTGAGCACAGGCATATTGTTAGGAAATTGCAAGGTTCAAGTAACATCTCTTTTGTGTACCTCCTCCTGTCCACTCTGCCATTCCCCTGCGGTAACCCTTTATTTAGCCCTCTTTAGACATGGCACAGGCAGAATCCACAGGATATGGCAACTGAGGGAATGTGGCCTTTGGACAAAATAAAAAAGTCAAGATGACTGAGGTTTCAAGACTAAGAGATATAAGAAGGCACTGCTGTTATTAGAACCAGGGAACACTGAAGAAGCAATAACTGTGGGGAGGTCACATAATATTGAGTGAATGGTAGAACTGTAAGAGTCAGATTTCCTGTATCTTCAGGGTAACTAGGGGGCTTCTGCCTCCAATTAAAGAATTCCATTTAATATTGTTGAATCTAATACCTCCAAACAGGCAAAAAGAAAAAAAAAAAAAAAAAAACACAACTCAATGAACTCAATACTTGTCCAGCAGAAGGAGGCAGAAGGAGGGATAAAGTGATTGAAGAAGGGAAGGATTAAGTTGATATAATGCAGAACTGCATTAGGAGGTTGAACTGGTCTAGATCACCTAAGAAACATTTTGGAGATCACAGAAGAGAAAGTAGCCTCAAAAGAGTATCTGTTGAGCGGCTTTTCAATGGGCACACTCACATATTTGAAATGATATATGTAAAAGGATATTAATTATGGAATTTTTTTTAAAAACAAAGTATCAAGAACAAACCCAAATGTGTATTAATAAGTGATTGGCTAAATATATTATGGATTCATACACTGGCTAACTATGTAGTTATTTAATAGAATGAGGCAACTCTCTGTTATTGATAAGGAACAGTCTCTAAGATACATTAAATGAGAAAAAGTGAAGTGTGGAATAGTATGTAAAGTATGCTACCCTTAGAGTTAAAAAAAAAAAAGACTTCATAAACATGCTCATAAGTGCATAGAATAGATGGAAAGAATCACAAGAAGTTAATAGCCATGGTTACCTCTCTGGGAAAGAAAACTGAATGATTAGGATGAGCCGGAAGGGAGAAAAACTTTTTATGAAATAAATAATGTTTGCATCCTTTTGGATTTTAGGTCATTTGCATATATTTCTAATTCAAAAAACCAGAGCTCAAATTGGTAGCTGTTCCATCAGCCTGGGTCTAAAAGTGAGGGCAACTTGGAACAGAGATGCCAACTGAATACCATGAAGGCCTTTTAGTATTAAGCCACTGAAATCTGGAGGTTGTTCATTACCACAGTAAAACCCGGCCTCGTCCAACTGACACATCATTTTTACAGGGTTCAGTCCTGAACCATCTTCTTGTCTCTGTAATCTCCTCATATATCCTTATCTCCTCCCATGACCTGGCGGATGTCCCAAACTCCCACAGTTTTATCTTCTCTGTTTCGAGTTTCAGAATCCTTTATCTAATGGCTTATAGCTTTTTATTACATCTGAATGACCTGAAATGATTGGATTCTGCCAACCTGTCTAACATCATCTTATTACAAAACCCCACTAGTCAGGTACCCCACTTACTAACCTCCAGTCTAAATGACCTTCTTCCAGTTTCTTGAACATGCCAAGATATATTCACCTCTGGACCGCTACACTATTTTCTGTTGTTTTATTTCTAGAATGTTCTGTCTCCTCCTTCTCCATCCACCTGGCTAATTTTAAATACTTTTCATTATTGCCCCCTCAATCTTTACCAGTTAGCCCCCTCACAAGATTATTCTTCTTTACCACTCTGTCATTTTATTTAATAACACGTTTATAATTTGTAACTACCTATTAATTTGTGTTCTTTTTTGTTTGATTTCTTTCTCTCACCAGACAAATCTCAATGAGGCTTGGTTGAATGTGCTTTCCTCACTGCTCTGTATCTTGCATCTCTGACAGTGTCTGACATTCAAGTGAATTAATAAAAGAAAGAGCAAGCTTCTATAGTGTACCAGCTCTGATGTGAGACATAGAATTTATTGGTGATAATCATGTCATAGGATTGACACGTGCACATGAACTCTTTCTTATTTACCAGAAATTGCCAGGTACAAATTGGTAACAAGAGAATATTTTAATGAAAATTGAGGAAGACTTGAGAAATTTGATTGCTAGGGCAGGGCAGGGAGCACCATGGAAGAAACACTTGGGTTAAAAATGAGGCAACTTGACTCCAAATCAGGTTTGTTTCACCACCTGTAAAATGATGAAATGGACTAGATAATTTGCTAGGTTACTAAGCTCCAACATTGGAGAATTCATTTCCTAATTATGCCCAGAACCAGCCCTACAGGACAACAATTGACCTTGCTCTTTCTTCCTTAGGTGTATAAAAAACACTTACAATATCTGGGAGGTAAAAAATAAAATCTTATTGTGGAGAGGGTGGGAAAGGGCAAGTGACAGCCATATGTCTCATCCACAGAATGTGTGATCCTACCACATCTACCAGCAGGGCATCTGTCAAAAGCTCAGTCTACAGTGTGGTCAATGTAGTGAAAAGTTATTCTAGAAAGGAAGGAACATGCCAAAAGTAAAAAAATTTATTAAATAATAAATACAGCACCCATACATTCCCTTGCCAGTTGCACATGAGTATCTTCTACTTCAATTTGATGTAATCCAAGGGCAACTGAGGCAGTTCAGATAAATGCTTCATGACACAGGAAGATGTCCACCCAAATCTTAGGGTCAAGTCTCATCTTCTTTGGCCACTGCACATTCAGGAGCAATGAATGATTTTGACTCATAATAAATTAGGTGAATAATGGATTCATGTAAAGTGCCTATGTCTTGTCCTCTCCATATCTTGCCTAACACTTTAACCAGTTGTTACTCCTCAATATATGTGTCACCTTCTTGGCGTTAGGGTCAAACTGAAACTGTGATGATCCACTGAAGAAATAAAAAAATCCTGCAAACATAGATGAGGAAAATAATGAGACATTCTTCAAGCCAATCAATTTTGCAACACATGTAACTCAGAATAACAGCAAGCTAATAATGGGTGCCATTTAAGTGATTGTTCTTTGCTGCACTAAGGGTTTTACATGCTTTATCTCATTTACCCTTACAAATAAAGTGAAAGGAGTTACTAATGAGGGAAAAAAACTGAAAATTAGGAAAGCATTGTGATTTTTCTCCAAGGTAATACTGCTAATGAAAGATGAAAGGAGGACTCAGTCTTGTCTCTGTCTGACTTCAAAGCCAGTGCTATAAAACTTTAGATTATACCGTCTCCAAATAGATAAATTCTATAATATTTTAAAACCTTGGTTTATTTTTCTCTTTCTTCGAACCTCTTCCTCCCCAACCAGTCCTAAATCACAGCTTGGAAGGCAATCAAGCCCAAGAGAATTAGACCAACAATAAAATACATCAGAGGTTCATTTCCTGCTTTGTATACATTTTGGTCAAGTCATCTTAGTAATAAGATTACCAGCTTCATAAGCATTATGGTTGTCAAACCTTGGCATCTCCCTCCAAAATTTTTTCGGGGGAAGCAACAACAGATTTTTCTTTCTCATCTGCCTATTACCAAGAATCACACTTTGTCTGTTTTGGGCATTCGGGAGATTGACTACCATTGTGAACAATTGCATATTGTAACAGAAGGCCAGTGAAGGTCCCTTGGGAAGAGATAGGAAAGGGCAACAGGATTCAACAGAGGTGAAAGACAGTCAACCATTAATAAACTTGACTCACACTTTGCTGTATTTTTTATACCACTATTGATATAAGAAAATGGCTACAATGCAAGGGATAATCATTTGATTTTTGGTGCAGGTATGAAACAAGGATTTGTGGAAATTGTATGGAAAATTCAGGAAAAATAAAATTTAAACCCAACCTGCGTAAATATTGTGAAATTTAGAGTGAAAGGATACAAAACTGAATGATTTGAAAATTGTTTTTGCTTTTCACTTCATCTTAATGCCATAAACTGCCCACATGTGCCCCCATTAACAATAAAACGAGTGTCCTCTTACCAAATGCCTGTAATGCAGCATCAACCTTTGGCCCAACTCCTGGGAAGTCGTCAGCTATTAGTCTGGGGAATCCTTTCTCCATGGACTGTCTATTTTCATCATATCTGTACCAAAAGAAATACAACTCAGTATTGTGTAGAACCTCTACACAATGGTATGATGTAATGTTAATCCTGGATAAATTTTTCAAGTAGTACCAAAAACCCAAAACCAAACCTGCTGCCATCGAGTTGATTCCAACTCATAGCGACCCTATAGGATGGAGTAGAATTGCCCCATAGGGTTTCCAAGGAGCGGCTGGTGGATTCAAACTACTGACCTTTTGGTTAGCAGCCAAGTTCTTAACCACTGTGCCACTAGGGCTCCTCAAACAGTACAAAGAACTACACAAAATGTGACTTTCCTTGGCTTACAAGCTTGGCACATAAAATAATATTTTCCCTAGAGACAGAGATGTCATGCTATTGTAGAGCTCCATACATGTGTCTGAAGTCAGTTTTCTAAGCCTGGACACAGAAGACTAAAATCATTTTTGCCACAAATATGTGAGGACTGTATACACATAGGATGCAAAATGAATTAAATTATTTGGCTAAAAATAAGCTTCGAGTTCTCTACCACACTGGGTCCCTGGAGACCTTGTCTCTAGAGTCTGCCACACCTGGGCTTCCTGTGGCAGCCACATGGTGACTGGCAGCGGGTGAGAAACAAACGTAACTTTGGCCTGCAGTCTGGACCTTAGTTGGCATCTTCTGTTGTATTTTGGTGCCTGAGTACACGACCCAGTGATCAGCCTTTGTGAGAGCCCTTTGTTGTATCAAGGAAGTCGATCTACTATTGTCTTCATCATAATTAGAAAATTTGAGGTTAGAGGAAATTAGAGTGTAGTGCTGGAGGTTTTCCTTACAGAAAGAAAATAATTTCCCTAATTAGGCTACTTACAAAGTCATTTGTATTTCATCTTACCTCCAGTATTTGTCCTCTGCAAAGAAGTATGTTTTCTTCTTTTCCTTATCAGAAAGAGCTGCATCAATTTTCCTTACGGTTGGAGGAAAGCCCAGGGTGTGGATGCCTCTTGGATAACCTGCTTGTATCTCATTTCCTCTTGTGGCCCAGAACTTACTTCCTATTAAAAAATAAACCCAAGAAATTTTGAGTGAAACTTTTTGGTTTTAGAAATGGCTTTGGTGCATTATTGTGGTAAAGACGAACTCTTGGTTTTAATTCTGACCATTAAGCCAACGCCCAGTTTATAACCAAAAAAACCCCAAACCCATTGCCGTTGAGTTGATTCCGACTCATAGTGGCCTTATAGGACAGAGTAGAACTGTCCCACAGAGTTTCCAAGGAGCGCTTGGTGGATTCGACTTGCTGACTTCTTGGTTAGCAGCTGTAGCACTGTGCCACCAGGGTTTCCCCCAGTTCATAGTAGGTATTTAATAAATATTCCTTGAATGAATCAATTAATGAATGAGTAGAACATTTATGTGTCTTATATTTATTATTCATAAATTATACTTACCAGTCTTTGTTTTTTCTTATGATTGTTGATGACTTCTTAATCTAAATTTCTAACCTACACCTCTCTCCCATGCATCAGATCCATAAGTCAATTGATTACTGGACATTTCCTCTTGGGTATGTCATAGTCATCAAGTCCAATCTGTGCTTCTTCTAAATACTTCTGGGATCCACTCAAGTTTGAGCGAATTAGTACGATGGTCTCCTATCGGTCTCTCTGTCTTTATTTTCTCCTCTTCCCCCTCCCCAAGTCTGAATCCCTGCCTCACACCCTTGGCTAGACTAACTAATCTAAAATGCCAATCTATTATGTATCTCTCTTGCTGCATCTGAACTGAATGACTTGTATTTCTCTGAGCAGCGCCAGATACTACTGTCTTACTTTCGCATAAACAGTTTCTTTTGTCTTGAAGAACTTTCCACTCTCTGCATGCCCAGCCTCTCTCCATGCAGCAAAGTTCTCTTTCAAGACTCATTCGAAACATAACCTCCTCTCAGGGATCCTTGCTGAACCTTGGGTTCCTCTGTGCTCCCATGGATCCATTTATCAGATAGTGTGCTGATGGCTTCCCCCTCAAGAACATGAACCCTTTTAGTTAGGATCTCTGCTAACTACCACAGCACCTGGCGCACCATAAGTGTTAGGTAAATTAATGGATATTAGCAATACTTTATTGTTATATAACCCTTTACAATTTACCGTGCAATCTACATTATTTCATTTAATCATCACAAAAATGAAATTAAGTCAGAAATAAATATAAAAAATAAGAAATCCTCATAGAGTTGGACATTTAACAATACTCCAAATAACTTATGATTCTATGAAAAAAAACAAAGAATAAAAATTAAAAAAACTTAAAAGTGAACAGTAATGAAAATACTGCATATCAAAACTTGCAGTATGAAACCAGGATGAAGCAAAAGCTGAGAAGAAAAGGATATTTATAGGCTTAAATGCTTATAGTAAGAGAGACAAAAGTTGCAACTTTCTAAGGTAAATATCAAACTTAAGAAAACAATAATAAGGATATGGACAGAAATCAATTAAACAGAAAATCAAAATACAATAGGAAGGATTAACAAAGCCAAAAGTTGGTTCCTTGAGAAGACCTATAAAATTATCATATATTTTATTAAATTGTTGATAATTTGAGAGAAAGGCATAAAGAATCAACATTAAGAATGAAAAAGGAAACAAAACTTCAACAATGATTAAAATTACAACAAAATAACACCATGAAAACTTCATGCCAACTGTGAGGCGGTGGGGAGGAGGTGTATGGGAACTCTGTACTTTCTGCTCATTTTTTTCTGTAAACTTCAAACTACTCAAAAAAAATAAGGCTATTAATTTTTTAAAAAGGACACCAATAAACTATGTTAAATTCAAAAAAACTTTATTGATTTGAAAACTGACAAAATTACAAATTTCTAGAAAATATGTTAACAAAACTGACCCAAGAAGTAATAAAAGCCCAAATAGGATATTGCCAACAGAACAAAGGAGGCACCAAGCCTGGGTAGTTCCATTAATCAATTTATCTGTCCTTGCCCTAATACTAAGGAGCCCTGGTGGTGGATTGGTTAAAGTGCTTTGCTACTAACCGAAAGGTCAGCAGTTCAAACCCCCAGCTACTCTGCAGGAGAAAGATGTGGCAGTCTGCTTCCATAAAGATTACAGCCTTGGAAACCCTATGGGGCAGTTCTACTCTGTCATATACGGTTGCTATGAGTCGAAAATTGACTCAACGGCAATGGGTTTTTGGTTGCCCTGATACTACATAATCTTAAGTATTAAAGCTTTATTTTGTCTTGATATCTAGCACAGCATATTTCCTCCTCTTATTCTTCTTCAGTCTCTTTACTCTTGCATAAAAATGAGAGAACCAATTTGTCAAGTTCCATGAAAAATCTTTTGGGATGTTAATTGAAATTGCCTTGTGTATATAGATAAGCTAACATTTTTACTATATTTTGCTCTTCTAGCTATGAATATAGAATACCAGCTGTTATTTAGGCCTTATTGAGTATTTTCAATAAAGCTTGTAATGTTCTATGTACATATCTAATTTAAACATTAGCACTAGGTCTTCCAGTAAAAACAAACAAAAAACCATACAACATTTAATATAGTGGAGAAAATGTATGCCCTGATGAAATTGTTCCACTAAGATTTCTTTCAACAAGTTAGAAATCCTTATGTAATACTTACCTTTAAAAATAAAAACCATGTCCTTGCTATAACTTTCACATGCAGCATCCAGTTCTGATGGAAGAGCAGGCCAAAACGTAGAAATCAAATGAAATTCAGGTTTGTGGTTCCAGGGGGTTTTGCGCCAAAAATAGCTGTAATACATCAAAGCTAATTGAAAATGTCTTTCTCCTTCAGATATTTGGGGGCGGGCGGGCGGGGGGATAACATATTCTTCTCTTGCTTTCAATAAATGCTACTTTATCCTTTTTCTTAAGTCTGGATTGGACTGTCTTCTTCCATATGATTCCAGAGCTCAGGAATCTATAGCAGGAAGTGTTTTAACAATGTAATTATTTAGCTTGGTTTAAGTCCTAAAAGCTTGTAACAGTGAGTATATGGATATTTATAGGCTTAAATGCTTATATTAAGAAAGAAGAAAAGTTGCAACTTACTAAAGTGAATATCAAACTTAAGAAAACAATAATAAGGATATGGACAGAAACCAAGTAAATAGAGAATCAAAATACAATAGAAAGGATCAACAAAGCCAAAAAAGAAACAGAAAAATATATACCTATTTATATTTGTATGTGACTAGAACATCTCTGGCAAGACGCAAAGGAAATTGGTAGCAGTGGTTGCACATATGGGGAGAGCTTGTAGGTCAGAGATGGGAAAGAGATTTATTTTTAACTCTGTGTCTTTTGCTGCTGTTTGAATATTTTGTCATAAGCAGGTATCATTTTTTCTAAAATTAATTCAAATAGTTGCATTTGTTAGCAAAGGTAGAGCTATTACTCTGATTCTTAAGATTCATCACTGCTTTTTGAAGAAATTCATGATTAATGATACGTGAAAGGACAATTATTCATCTATTCAAAACATTCATTGCATGTGCCAGGCCTATTCCAGGCTCTGGAAATATAAAAGTGAACCAAACAGATAACACTTCCCACCCTCATGGAGTTTACCTTCTAGTGACCAACAAGCTTGGTAAGTCTGTAAAAAAAATGACCTGGACAATTTTAGGGAGATGTTAAAAATGCAGCAGGAACCAGATCTGAAAGATTTCAAAACTTAGAGGAAACATTTCATTTAAAATATCTGTCAAGGTTTTGGGTTTTTTATTTCCTTTCTAAGTATTGTAGATCAAAAGAATAGATAGTTAAAATAGTTTTCCAGTCTCACCTGTCTTTAAAGAACAGAATTTCTCCCCTCAGAGTGCTGACTGCGTCAAAGGACAAGGCAGGGTCGCACAGGGATGGCATCTGGGGTGCTGGAGGGATGAATTTCGTGGGCACCATGGGTTCATCAGGGGAGGCAGGGGGAGGTCCTAAAGGGAAGAGATGCAAGGATGCGAACCTCAGGAGAAATATGATGCTCTGTCAATTACCATGCTTTCCAAGCATTCTCAAAGCGCTTTGAGTTGAAAGCTTACGTAGCATTTTCAGGTTTCCTGAAGACCATCATTGTAAAGTTTTCCTGCAGAGCTACAATGCCTAGTTTTCCAGCGTCACTCACCATAGAGGGACTGAATGCCGTTCACATCATCTTGAGAAAGGCGGAATCGGGCCAGGTCTGTGCGTGGGTTGTAGACTGGGTACATCAAAGCTTCAGGGTTGTCCGAATGAAAGAGACCCAGGGAATGGCCAAGTTCATGAGCAGCAGAAAGGAATAAATTGGTCCCTATTTGAAAAACCATAAATGTTCAGCATCTGACAGCTATTTACTCCATAAACATGCATACAAAACACGTGCCAGCTATGTAGATTATCCTTGGAATCACACAATGTCTTTTCCTTACTGTGGGTTGATTCATTGATGGGCATACTCCATACTTCACAGAAATCTATGTGTTTTCAAGGTTGACTTGAAGTCAATGTCTAAGACAGTTTTCCACCATATCCTTCCCTAATCCTCTTGTTGGTCAAGAAAAACAGGTCACTTTTCCTATAGTGACAGTGATAAACATTGTTTCCAAAAGATATTTCTTTGGATGGACTAAGACCAGTAGCATGTCAGTAAAGCTAACTCTTCTTTGTCTCTAAAAATAATCAGTTAGGCATTTTTCAAATTTAGTAATATGTACTTGTGACAACCTCAGCTGAAGTTAATCACACAGTGTTCACATTATTCCTCAAACTCTTTTTTTTTTTTAAGTAATATGTTACTGTGTTTTTGGTGAAAGTTTACACAGCAGTTTATGTTCCCATTCAACAATTTCTACACAAATTGTTTAGTGACTTTGGTTACATTCTTCATGATGCATAAATATCCTCATTATTTCCATTATGCTTGTTCCATTTCCATTAATCTAGTTTCCTTGTCTCCTTACATTCTCATCTTTAATTTAAAGTAGTTGCTGACTGGTCTCACACAGGTGATTTTTTAAAGGAACACAGTTCTTAATGGTGACATTCATTACTTTATGAGCCAATCTGTTATACAGCTACAAGGTGACCTCAGGTTAGTTTCGGTTCAAGGTTTGAAGAGTGTCCCAGGTTAATAGTCTCAGAGAATCCTCCATTCCCAGTCTCAACAAGTCCAGTAAGTCTGTTTTTTTTTTAGGAATTTAAGGTTCTGTTCCACATTTTTCTCCCATTCAGTCAGGTTCCATCTATTGTGGCCCTGATTATAGTGGCCAGAAGTGTTAGCTGGGTACCACCTAGTTCTTCTGGTCTCAGGGTAGATGAGGCCATGGTTTGTGTAGGCTTTTTTTTTTTTTTTTTGTAGACTAGTTTCTTTTTTGAGTCTTGTTTTCCCTTTTTCTCTTTGGTCCAGATGAGTAGAGACCAATAGTTGTATCTTAGACAGCCACTCACAAGTTTTTAAGACCCCAGACTATTCCTCAAACTCTTAAGCTACAAAACGTCCAGTTATTTCCCTTAGAAATTTAGCCTGAGTTGTTCTTTCTCCTATTCATTATAATCAAATAATGTTTTATTGTCAAAAACCTTTCCTTTAGTAGGTGCAATTGGATGTCCACAGTCTTCAGCTTAAAAGAGAAACATGCCCCGTAACTGTTATCTGAAGCATAAACATAGCTGGATTTAGCTTTTCTCCATATTATAAAAAGAATTTTATTTAAATCAGTAGTAGATATTATTTAACCAAGGCTCCAAACAATTGTACAAAAAAGAAGAGTTGTTCAAATAAAAGCAACCATTTCATGCAGCACAAATATCAGGTATGTTTTCTCAGTAAAGATAACTATTAAAGATCTGAATCAATCTCAGAAATAGCAATTGTTTCAACAGTGTTTCCATTTGGAAAAAAAAAAAAACAAAAAACCATGCAGTCAATTTTCGTCACTGTGTTTCTATTTACTAAAGCTCTTCAGAACTAGTGAAGGAAAAAAAAGTTTCGAAGGTGGAGACAGTGACTTAGTTATGGAAATAAGATTGAATGGTGCTTATTATAATGTGCCTGGTGGGGCAAGGAAAGAAATGCAGACATTTTATAAAGTACTTCAATAAGGATTAAAACAGGGTGCTTCTGGTTATCACTCAGATGATCAGAAATTTTACTTACTTAGGACATACCATTTACTGCTCAATCTGGATAAAGAAATTCTGCTCGGATAGTTGTTGTTGTTGTTAGGTGCTGTTGAGTTGGTTCCAACTCCTAGACCCTATGTACAACAGAATGAAACACTGCCCGGTCCTGGACCATCCTCACAATCATTGCTATGCTTGAGCCCATCGTGGCAGCCACTGTGTCAATCCATCTCATTAAGGGTTTTCCTCTCTTTCACTGATCCTGTACTTTACCAAGCATGATGACCTTCTCCAGGGACTGGTCCCTCCTGGTAACATGTCTAAAGTACTTGAGATGAAGTCTCACCATTCTTGCTTCCAAAGGGTACTCTGGCTGTACTTCTTCCAAGACAGCCTTTTTCGTTCTTCTGGCAGTCCATGGTACATTCAATATTCTTCACCAACACCATAATTCAAAGGCATCAATTCTTCTTCAGTCTTCCTTATTCATTGCCCAGTTTTTGCATGCATATGAGGTGATTGAAAATACCATCTCTTGGATCAGGCTCACCTTAGTCCTCAAAGTGACATCTTTGCTTTTTAACACTTTAAAGAGATCTTTTGCAGCAGATTTGCCCAGTGCAATATGTGGTTTGATTTCTTGACTGTTGCTTCTATGGGTGTTGATTGTGGATCCAAGTAACTATAAATCCTTGACAACTTCAATATTTGTTCCATTTATCATGATGTGGCGTATTGGTCCAGTTGTGAAGATTTTTGTCTTCTTTATATTGAGGTGTGATCCACACTGAAGGCTTTAGCCTTTGATCTTCACCAGTAAGTGCTTCAAGTCCTCTTTCCTTTCTGCAAGCAAGGTTCTATCAACTGCATATCATAGGTTGTTAATGAGTCTTCCTCCAATCCTGATGTTTGTTCTTCTTCATACCGTCCAGCTTTTTGGATTATTTGCTCAGCATACAGATTAAATAAGTATAGTTAAAAAATGCACTCCTGATTCACACCCTTCTTGATTTTAAACCACACAGCATCCCCTTGCTCTGTTCATATAACTACCTCTTGGTCTACGTATAGGTTCCTCAAGAGCACAATTAAGTGTTCTGGAATTCCCATTCTTTGCAAAGTTGTCCATAATTTGTTATGATCCACACAGTCAAATAAATGCCTTTGCATAGTCAATAAAACACAAGCAAACATCTATCTTGGATAGAGCTAGGCATTATTTCTGAAATCATCCTGAGAGATTTATGACCCACCTGATGTATCCTCCGTCCACTGTTCATCATCATCAAAGTGGACATCTCCATATATCCCTGGCCCAGGTGCATAGGCATGAGCCACAGTGGCTCCAGGTCCATCAAAAGGGGCAAAGTCTCCATGTTCTAACAGGGAAAATGGTTTATTTGAGAGATAAGTAATTAGGATTTCTTTTTAACCTTTTCCAATTAAAAAAATCAGATACATGGATGTATTTCATGTTTTTAAACATTATTATTATTGTTTTACCTCTAACGGCAAAAGAGATCATTATGTCAGCCTCTCCTTCATAAATCCTGGAGAATGTGAGAGGAGTCACTTCCTCCCAGACTTTCAGAGCTTTCTCAATGGCAGCATCAACAGCATCTCTTGACAGATCCAGTGTATAATTCACAATCCTGTAGAAGAAAAATAGAAGATAATATTTTCTCCTGTGACAGTAACTTACAGTTTTAATCTTCTGTGAAAACCTCTTTGGACCTATAAGTAAAAATTACCGGTAGGTAAGATGAGTCTTCCTCCACTTTGGCAAGCCAGGAAAGGTAGCGAAGTGACCAACGTCAGGGACTCCACACCTGGGTTTGCGAATCACCTCTAGGGTATTGGAGTCCAGGTTCCCCGTCACCTCCAACCCAAGGAACTTCTGCATTTCTTTGATTTTTTTACCAACAGTGATGCTGTCCTTTCTTCTCACAAGTTGTTTCATACCATTTGCAAGGTTGTAGTATTTTTCTAGATATTGCTTATGAAATAATAAGCATAGATTTTAGGTAATTTTTACAGTTGCCCAAATTTCACAATTTAATTATTCTCTAGTTTATGGAAACAAAAGTAAGCAGCACATTTAATTTAATATTCATTAAGACTCCTGATTTCCAACTTCCGGCAACATGGCGCTCTAGGCAGAAGCAGCACGCTGTCCCTCCACAGCAAAGATTTGAAAAACTAAGCCAAACAGAGAAAACAGCAATCCTGAAACCCTGAAACATCAAATGAAGAGATAAAGAACTCAGCCAAGCACCAAATGGAATGAGAAACTGACAGAGAACAGAGAACAAGGAGAGATTCATGCAGAGGCCCCCTATCAGCTAACCCAGTGAAGATCCACCATCTTGGACTCCTATCAGAGACAAGTGAACAGGGGGTGCGAGAGAGCAGCTTCACAGAGCTTCCAGCAGGATACAGAACAACTGTTTCTCATCTCTCTATACCTTCCTTCTCCTCCTGTCCCCTGAATACCTGGCGCAGAATACCTCTATGCATTCTAGCCAGGCTGTACTTCAACACCTGGAAGCAACTTCCCCAGACCTTGTAGACACACCGGTGGAATCCCTGGGAGCTTTGCTGTTCTTTTTTCTTTCTAGTTTTTATTTATTCATTCTTTTTTTTTCTCTTCTTCTTCCCCTTCTTGTTTTTTTTCCATTTCATAGTCTCTCATCTCTCCACTCCAACAGCAAGCTTCCCTAGCACTCTTTTTTGTTTGTTTGTATGTTTTTGGCTCCTGTTCCTCTCTCCTCTCTCCCATACCCATCTTAGCGCCACACATCACAATCTCCCCCCTTCATCCTGCCTACCTACACTGTGTGCTTAACATCACACCACCAAGCAGCACAGACACGGCCTACCGGAACCTGCCCTGCACTGATTACCGACCTACCCTGGTGGCTGTAGTGCCACAAACAACCCATCCTAGCAACTCCTCTTCAGCTAGACCTGCCGTGCTGTACCATATCTAAGCAACTGACCCTGCCAATTGGAGAAGGAAGTGAAAAGTATCGTGCCCACCGATGAGCAAACAATGAAGAACACGCAGCCCACCTGCCCAGACATAGTCAAATTTTTAAAAAAAGATGAAACAAACAAGTCTACAATCAATAAATGAGAAAAATAACTACTGAATGCCCCGAAGACAGCAGACAATATCAAAACATTTACAAAAACAGGACAGGATGGTGCCAGTAGGCATCCAAAATAAAACACCAGATGACTTTCCAGTGGAAGAAAAGGCACTAGAACTACCTGATAGGGAATTCAAATCTCTAATACTAGAATTATCCAAGAGTTGAAGCAAAAAGCAGAAAAAAATGAGGAAAAAATAGACAAATTCATGGAAAATACAGACAAAAAAATGGAGGAATTCAGAAAAACAATGCAGGAATAAAATGTCAAAATAAATTCACAACTAGAAATTATACAAAAACAACAATTAGAAATCCAAAAGATAAACAACAAGATTTCAGAAATGAACAGAGTCATAGAAGGGCTGAGGAGCAGATTTGAAACAGTGGAAGACAGAATCAGTGGAATTGAAGATAAACACCTGGATACAACTCTGTTGGAGGAAAACTCAGAAAAAAGGACAAAGAAAAATGAAGAGACATTGAGAATTATGTGGGATACAATCAAATGCAAAAATTTGCGAGTGATCAGAGTTCCAGAATGGGGAGAAAACAGAAAACACAGAGAGGATCATTCAAGAACTGCTAACAGAAAACTTCCCCAATATCATGAAAGATGAAAAGCTGGCCATCCAAGAAGTTCAACGAACCCCATATAGACCCCAAAAGAAAATCACCATAGACCCCAAAAGAAAATCACCAAGGCATATCATAATCACACTCGCCAAAACCAAAGCCAAACATAGAATCCTGACAGCAGCTCGTGAAAAACAAGAAGTCACATACAGAGGAGAAACAATACAACTAAGCTCAGATTATTCAGCAGAAACCATGCAGGCAAGAAGGCAATGGGGTGACATATATAAAACCTTGAAAGAAAAAAATTGGCAGCCAAGAATAATATATCCTGCAAAACTCTCGTTCAGATTTGATGGTGAAATTAGGACATTTCTAGATAAACAGCAATTAAGGGAATAAGTAAAAACCAAACCAAACTTACAAGAATTATTAAAAGGAGTCCTTCGATGTGAGAACAAACAACTTCAGCTCACAGGCTGAATCTAGGATGCAGGATCATACCAGCCAGATACCAATCTAGGAAATTAACTCTCGAGGACTATCCAAAACCAAAAGAAATACAACAGGGAATCAGAGCAGTTAATCTGCAAATGACGACAACATCAGAACAATAACAGAGGGAATAAACGGTGTAGGTATAGAACCTTCTAATGGAGAGGAAGGCAAGGCGATACCAAGTAATAATAGACTGCTTTGAACTTAGATAAGGGTAAATTTCATAGTAACCACAAAGAAAGTTAACAAACATACACATAAAAATAAACAGGAAAAACATAAAGTCTCAGTAAAAACAAAACCTACAAAAACAAAAGAAATGAAAAAAAAATCCACAAACAAAAGGAATTCGGCATAGGAGAGTAAGAAGAACAAAGAAAACATCAGCACCGCAAGAAAAGAAGTACAAAATGACAGCAATAAAATCACATCTATCAATAATTACACTGAATGTAAATAGACTCAATGCACCCATAAAGAAACGGAGAGTGACAGAATGGATAAAAAAACAGGATCCATCAGTATGCTATCTACAAGAGACACACCTCAGAAACAAAGACGTGAATTTATTAAAATCAAAGATTGGAAAAAAATATATCAAGCTAACAACTACCAAAAAACAGCAGGAGTGGCAAGACTAATCTCAGATAAAATAGACTTTAAAACGAAGACTCTTGATTTCATTATTTTCCTTTTGTACTAATTTTTAAATTTCATTGCAATTTATTTTGCTAGCCAGGTAAAGAATTTGAAGTTGAGAATTCAGATCAAGCATGTTTAAAAAAGAGAAACATAACTGTAGGAATATTTTGAGCGAGTGTGTCTAACTTTTTCCACTTTACATTGTTAACATAAATCTGGTCAAGTCTGAATGGGACAAATTCTTTTGTCCAAACATGCAAAGCAACAATATAAACATTACTTGGTATTATTGAAAGATCGAAATTGACATGCTCCCCTCACCCTGCAATTATTTTAACTAAAGAAATTCTAAAACCAGAGAAGTTTCAGAAGTTTTCCATTTATTCTTTTCGCTTAGTCCTGAAGCTGCCTCTACTATTTTATCGTATGGCCTTAAGTAATTATCTCTTCTTCCTGGGCCTCTTTTTCATTCTCTGGTAAATGAAGGAATCTTCCACTTCTAGCACTTTAATATTCTCTGAACCTAAGTTATCCCAACACAACAACCTCCAACCAAATCATTCTGCTTTGTATTGGAAGACCAAGTAGACTTCTCCACTTGGGCTGACCAGGGCTGTCGTGGCTTCCACTATTAATTACCTGGACAAGATCCATGTTTGAATCCTTCTTCACTGCCCCAGCCAGTGGATAAGCCAAGCAAATTGGCAGACATAACAGCACAAGGACGACAAGATGCCTCATTCTCACTGTCTTCACCAAAGGAAAATACCTTCTCTACCTATTGGCTTCTCTCTCTACCTGCTAGTGGCTGGACTTATATAGGATGACAGTGCTTAGATCACCGTGTGTGTTTGGTGACTCATGGATGTGTGTGCTCTTTTTTTTTTTTTTAATCTGTATGACTCCAGGAAATGTTCACCAAAATTCAACACAAAGATGATACAGACTTCATCAGTAATTTCCGTTGACCCTCTAAATTTTCACAAGAGAATGACTAATCTCCAGGAAATAGCATGTGCGTTTATAAAGAGGAAAAAGAAATAATAATTCATGTTTGTTTGTTTACGGAGTGGGAGTGAAGCCTAGTAAAATGTCAAAAGTTCAGACCTTTTTAAATCTGTTGAATTTTCTTTTAAGAATGCTATATTTTAAGCTCAAACACAAGTGGGTTAAGAAAAAGTAGATGAATAGAAGGAACTTCCAAATACAATTGTAGTGTAAATATGGGAACTTACCTCTAGGAGGATATTTCATTTTTTGAGTCATTGTTTAAAGTAGTTATTACAAATTTCCAGATGGATTTACTGGCCCTGGAGGAGGAACACCATGAGAAGGGAGCGGGCCATGGAAAAGAGGGTCTGTAGAGGAAGGAAGAATAACACTGATTCTTCCTTGGTTTTCATTCATTGTCCATTTCAGAATAAATGATATGTTCTTAGTAACTGCTTGATAAAAACTTGTCAAATTGCCTATTAGAATGAAATGTTCCTCCTACTTGCCTCTCCATTGTTGCTTTAAAAAAATCCTTCAATCTTCTTTTCCTCCTCCCAAAGTACAAAGGAGAAGATGGATTTAGATTTGTGAACGGGAGTAATTTCAAACACTCCTTTTCCTTCACGTATCTAACCATCCACTCCTGCCCATCAATGGCATTTTCTCTGTTTTTCCTCAGCCAAGTAGAGTGCTTTCACGCTCTAAGTCTGAAATAACTTTTTTTGTCAAATTAATCTATTAACATAAAAGACTTTAAAATTCTTTTAAGATAGAATTATCTTTTTTTTTTTTTTTCTCACTAAAGATAAATGAACTCTACCACACCTGAAATATGTAATTTCAGAGGAACGGGAGACTGAATTTATGAGTGTCCAAGATTAACCCCTCAGCACCATCCACTATCTCCACCCTACCTGAAGTTGACTGGACAGGATGGAACCTTCGGAAAACTGGAGGCTCTGAAACCTTTCACTAGAATTGAGGAGAACCTTGGATGGGCACTGATCCAGCCATGTCAACCTGTGGCTTAATATAGCCAAAGGTTTGCTCTACAATGTAGTGCAGTGGAAGGGACCTCAGGTTGAAAATCAGGAGAGGGGCTTACAGCCAGACTCAAAGTCAATTATATGGCTTTGAGCAAGTACACGATTTTGTTCAGGATATTTATTGTGCTTTAGGTGACAGTTTACACAGCAAATTAGTTTCCCATTGAATAATTCATACACAAATTAATCCTTGACATTTGGTTGCAATCCCCACAATATGTCAGCACTCCCCATTTCCACCCCGGGTTCCCCATTTCCATTCGGCCGGTTTCCCTAACACTACCTGCCTTCTCAGCTTGGCTTTTTTTTTTTTTTTTAATTTTTGCTTGTGGTCAGTAGATAACTTTTATTAAATAAAGATCTATCCTTGAAAGTACAAATGCAAACAATTATAACTCAACCACTTGCTAATTTCCTTTTACTAAAGGCATTTGAGTTTTGATGGGAACCTCATAAATATCAATATTAACAAATTCAACTGGCTAAAGAAGAAAATTAGAGTGAAAATCTATCAGAGAGTGAACATCATCCTAAATAAAGCCCATTGACATGTTGAGTACATGAATGTGCAAGCAGAGAAGAAAATGACAGAGCTGGTTGTAGTGTGGATTTCAGCCTTAAAATCACATCACTCGCAGGTACCTAAATGCTAAGAATTTTTTGAAACATTACAGCATTATAGATCTTGCTGAAAGCAAATTTCTATAGAAACAAACAGTTATCTTGAAAAAATGAGGAGTACTATCCTAACTGCAGATTAGTTAACCGGTAGTGTGGGTGGACATGATTTGTAAATTTAAGATGGTTAAAAAAAACTCAAAAATAATTTAGTAAGCAAAGTCTTGAGCATTTATGGGAATTTAACCAAATTCCCACAGCAATAGTAGAACGGAGTTTTCCAACAATTCAGCATTTCTCACTGATATAAAAGCTACATTGGTTATTTCAAGTATTTTAGAAGTGTTACATTCCATCAGGGAAGAGGATACAAGTTGCAATGCCAGTTTCCTTTCTTGTGCTGATTTCATTGAAGCCACGGTTTGCCACTTGGTCTCGGACAGAAGCTTTCAGGCTTTGCATTTGACAAGTCGCTTAACTTGTTCCCCAATGTAACAGGCTTTCTAAAACATAGTTTTAAAAACATAGGATAGCAAACACCTCTCCTTAACAGAACTTGACCTCTTATTATTTGGGGTGAGTCTCTGTTGCTTCCCAAGCAGCTCATTTAAAGCAATCCATTTGTACTTTGTCCAGACTTCCAGATAAATGCACACTTAAGAATCTGGATTTTTCTTTTTCCTCTAATTTATTTTATTTTATTGTGCTTTAGGTGAAATTATACAGCGCAAACTAGTTTCTCATTAAAAAATTTATACACAAATGGTTTTGTGACATTAGTTGCGATTCCCACAACGTGTCAGCATTCTCCCCCTTTCCCTTTACACTCCAGCTACCCTGTGTCCATTAGTCCAGGTTTCCTGTCCCTTCCTGACTTCTCGTCTTTGCTTGTAGGCAAGTGTTGCCCATTTGGTCTTGTATACTTGATTGAACTAAGAAGCACTTTCCTCATATGTGTTATTGTTTGTTTTATACGTATGTCTCATCTTTGGCTGAAAGGTCGACTTCGGGAGTGGCTTCAGTTCTGAGTTAGCAGGATGTCTGGGGGCCATAGTCTTGGGGGTTCCTCTAGTCTCTATCAGACAGTGATTCTGGCCTTTTTTTTTTGTGAATTTGAATTTTGTTTTACGTTTTTCTCCCACTCTGTCCTGGACCCTCTATTGTGATCCCTGTCAGAGCTGTTGGTGGTGGTAGCCAGGCACCATGTAGTTCTTCTGGGCTAAGGCTGGTGGAGGCTGCAGTTCATGTGGTCTATTAGTCCTTTGGACTAACATTTTCCTTGTCTTTGGTTTTCTTCATTCTCCTTTGCTCCAGACGGGATAGGACCAATAGATGTATCATAGATGGCCGCTAACAAGCTTTTAAGACCCCAAATGCTACTCACCAAAGTAGGGTGTAGAACACTTTATGAACTATGTTATGCAAATTGACCTAGATGTCCCCTGAGACTATGGTCCTTAACCTTCAAGCCCAGTAACTCAGTCCTGTGAGGTATTTGGTTATGTCTAAGAAATTTCCATAACTCTGCCCGTATGTGCTCTGTTATATATATGAATATACATGTAGCACATACAAGTATGTGCAAAGAAATATCCACAACTAAGCCTATATGTGCATGTGGGTGTACTCCCATATGACCTCCTACACTCATTTAGCATATATATCAACCTATATATACATGTATATCTGCTCACAAATTATTGTTTTTTATTGCTGTTGTTGCAGGATTTTATATGTTATAGTATTTACCATTGTCGCCCGTTATTCTTGCGTATCTCTCAGTGTCTTCGTTTGCCTTGGTCACATTGTGCTGACTTCCCCATATTGTGTATTGCTTTTCCCTTCACCATAGTTAACATGTGTCTACTATCTAGTTGGAGCCCTGGTGGCACAGTGGTTAAGAGCTCGGCTGCTAATCAAAAGGTCAGCAGTTCGAATTCACCAGCTGTTCCTTGGAAATCCTAAGGGGCAGTACTACTCTGTCCTATAGGGTCACTATGAGTCAGAATCTACTAATGGCAATGGGTTTGGTTTGGGTTTGAACTATCTAGTTAGTGATTCTCCCTCTTTCCCCCTGCTATCCCTGGCAACCAACCAAAAATGTTTCTTTTTGTGTGTAAACCTATTCTTGACTTTTTATAAAAGTGGTCTCATATACAGCCTTTTGTGATTGAATTATTTTACTTAGCATAATGTCCTCCAGATTCATTCATGATGTGAGATGTTTCATGGGTTCATTATTATTCTTTATCATTGCATAGTATTCCATTGTATGTATGTACCACAATATGTTTTTCCATTCATTTGTTGGTAGATACTTAGTTTGCTTCCATTTTTTTGCTATTGTGAATAACGCTGCAATGAACATGGGTGTGAATATGTCTTTTGTGTCACAGCTCTTATTTATCTAGGATATATACCTAGGAATGGGATTTACTGGATCATATAGTATTTATATTTCTAGCTTTTTAAGGAAGTACCATACCATTTTCCATAGTGGTTGTACCATTTTACAATCCCACCAGCAGTGTATAAGAGTTCCAATCTCCCCACAACCTCGTCAGCATTTGTTGTTTTCTGTTTTTTTGATCAGTGCCATTATTGCTGGGGTGAGACGGTATCTCACTGAAGTTTTGATTTGCATCTCTCTAACGGCTATTGACCACGAGCATCTCTTCATATGTTTGTTAACCACCTGAATGTCTTCTTTGGTGAAGTGTCTGTTCGTGTCCTTTGCCCATGTTTTAATTGGGTTGCTTGTCTCTTTGTTGTTGAGGTGTTGAAGTTTTCTATAAATTTCTATAAATTTTAGAGATTAAACCCTTGTCAGATATATCATTTCCCCAGACTGTAGGTTCTCTTTTTACTCTTTTGGTGAACATAAGTATTTAATTTTTAGGGGGTCCCAGTTATCTAGTTTATCTTCTGCTGTTTGTGCATTGTTGGTTATGTTGGATAGATTATTTATGCCATAAATTAGGGTCCCTATCTTTGTTCCTATGAATTTTATAGTTTTAGGTTTAACATTTAGGTTTTTGATTCATTTTGAGTTAGTTTTTGTGTGTGGTGTGAGGTATGAATCCTGTTTCA